TCGCGTAAAGCTACGGCTTGCTGCATGTTACCATTGTAGGGGGCCGAAAGAAGTGTCATGTTCCATTGGTGATGAGATCCGAATGGCTGCATGATGAGTTACCAGCCCAGGACGGGCATGCAAATGACATGTACTCGGTAGAGATAGATAGCCTTTGATAGCCAAAAACCCGATACACGTGGAGGTGGTTGCACGTTCATCCCGTCGCCCACAAAGTCAGGAGATGTTTAGAGATAAGCTCGGAAGCACTGGACTTTCAGCAACTTTGTCAAGGTGGTAAGGCACGTGTGAGAAGCACTGGTACCAGTACCGAGTTGGCTGTAAATGTTGGCAGAAGAAAGTTGTCGCTGATGTCAACTGCCCAGTCTGGCATTCTATCCTCTATCGTGCTAGACCCTGAACGGACCAAAAGCCGCTCATCATGAGGGGTATTGGGCTCCCTGGGCTCCTTGGAAGCTTCTGAAGATCAAGCAGTCGGGTCCAGGTGGACGGCGCCTGGGCTTGTACCATGATCGTTTGTGTGACGCGATCGATGACCAGCGCAATGAAATCAACAGGAACGGCACGTCATTGAATGATCAAAGACGTTGACCGGACCTGCTCTTGATGGGATCGATCAACCCTCATTGACCTAGAGCATACATCCGGACTGCCCGAGCGTTAAAAGATGCGCCATTTGGCGGTGCTAAAGGGCTACCAGAGCACCGGAAGGATTCCACCACACCAGCACAGACCATGGCTAAGGAGAGATAGAGGAAATGATGTGCTCGCTGTTTTTCCGGCATGCATGTCTGGACTTGCACAAACAAAAAGTGGAATGTGGAATGCATCGCTTCTGCAGCAGACGTGCAGTATGGAGTACTGTGGTATCAACACCTTCTGTAGGAATAGAAAGATGCCCCACACGTAGTGCATGATGAACGGGACGATGGAAGAATGCTGGATATGTGAAACGGCGCCCATTCGGCAGATGCAGGTTTGATGTTGCTTCATCCTTGGTTGGGAGGAGCCATATCCACTGGACCACTGCATCGAGCAGTATGGGAAACACCATATCGTCGTATCCTACAAAAGAATACTACAGCTGATCAGACCAGCCATGTCGTGGGCAAGGGGCTGGCCCCGAGTAACACCATGATATCTGCTTAGGGTTGCTGCAGGGCGATTATGATTGCCCTCCCGGTTGCTCCCCATATGCGTGAAGATGTGTAACTCCCGGGTTATTACATGGCCATGTCCTCTCCAGTGTTGGATTGATGTTGCAGCAGCACGACAAGGCCGACACCGAGGCTGGCACTGGTGGTGGTGGTAGTGGTGCAACGCAACGCATCGTTCCGTTACTGGCTGCAACACGTCAATCTATTACATCTTCAGGACCAGCCAGGTTTTAGAACGTCAAGCAGCTAGCCAGTCTGCATGGCTAGCACAGGGTACTCGTAGATAGATGCGTCTGAATCGTCTCTGGAGATCTTTCGAGACAGATGGCTGCCACTGCCCGTGGCCGCGACATCGAATCCACTTTACTGGCTGCATGCTCGAGATCTCGCTGAATGCCACTGGCTGCAGGCGCTGCTGGGTGGCTGCAGGACAGGTGGCAGGTTACTACGCCACAGAACACGAGTTGACCACAGGGATTGTGGCCAATACACTCGATCTGGTACACACGCTCCCATCGCCCGTCGAATCTCCGTGGGTAAGATCAAGATACTCGTGGAATACGAGTATTTGGGGACTTGGTGTTGGCCGCGCAATGCTCCGAGTTGTAGAGCCTGATGGCTCGGTCGGACAATGAATGTCTCGCCGACGTTGGCTCTGCAGAGCATGGCATTGGCTTGTAGCTTTTCAATAAATCCAGCCATCAAATTTCTCGAAGCAGAGTGATCTGGGACAGGCGATCACTTTTGTAAGGGATAAAGGCCCAGGATACTTTGGCAAAAACGATGATTAACAGGAGCTGGCAATTTGCCCGAGGTATAACACGGGGGTATCCTGGCATAGGCCGAAATTGTGCTTGGTCTCAGAGAGCAGGCTTCCCCAGAATTTCTGGACGCCACGAGCGGAACCTGTGGCTGCGCTAATGCGTGTTGTTCTCCATCACGCTTTGTTTCGAGACGGCGCCTTTTCGCCGTTTCGCCGACGCCAATCTGTTGTTTATCAACTGCCGCCGCAGGCGAGCCCTAATATTGCGCCAAAGGAAGGCGGGGGATGCCACTGGGAGAGGGTACCGAATGTACCTCGTAGATTATTCGTCCAGGCTTGTTCGTCAGCCTTGGTAGTCGTCGTCATCGCCGTAGACCATCGTCACAGGGCGAGAGTGAGTACTGCAGACTGCGCATGACCTGCGAAAAAATTTGGGCAGCGTGCAAATCGAGGAGAAACAGGTAGAAGCGAAGCTACAGAGCGCTATTCTGCTGCGGACTTGAGTGAGGACACATCCGCACAGCCCGTGGGCTGATGACGTGGGTAGTGGTGTTTCTCTGTCCTTCTATACTGATTGTCGAGCTTGAGATAGTCCGTCGTCCCAGGCATATCGATTGTCCTGTTGGACGCGTGCGTGTACCTGTGAACGAGGTACTCGTAGGTAGCTATTGGGAGGCGCTGCAAACTCTGTCAGAGCGAGTCATCGGGTTGACCTCGATGTACGCCACAGACATGCGACAGTTCACCAGCAACAAAAATCCGCAAATACTGCTAACTCCGGGACAAATCGTACACCTCGGCATCAAGGTACCGGCAAGTCCAGTGACAGCCAAGGCAGAGAGAAGCCACAAGACACATCATTATTCAAGAGCCTGTTGGTGGCGGGGTTGTCCTAATCAACCGAGAAGAGATATTCCGCACAGAATGACTCAGTAAATGGGTTATTGGTAAACACAAGAGGAGGTTGGGCCGTGGATTAGACAAACAAGCCAGGCCACAACAACAGACAAGAGTGAGGTTGGCTGGTGGTGGTGATGGTGATGGTGGTGGCAAAGACGCAGTTTGCGCTCGACCAGGAAAAAACTTGAAGTCGGCAAGTCGGAGGCCGGCGAAGACAACCACCGACATACCGACACTAGAAACCTTAATCTGGGGACTGGTCAAATCTGAAGCAGCCAATCACAGACTCCGCTCCCAAGACTATTCACTATGTACCTTGTTTTCCAGCATATTGGAGGACCTGGACGATCAACAGATCTAACTTGGTACTCGTTTCACTTCCTCGAAAACTACTCGACGACATTCTCGAGAACGTGGGTTCACTCTTCCCAGTTCTGGAACAGAGGTCGGGCAATTACTCCGTAGGTATCTCTAGTGCAAGTATCTACGGAAGTCCAGCAAGTCACATTCTCCGTTTGTTTTGCTTCTTGTTATGGTAGTATACCGGAAAAAGAGAACCTTGGATGGATAACGCTCCGTAACCTGTAGAGCAAGGCCCGTGGCAGATTGGGTGATGCCTGTCACCGGATGTCCCCCAGCTCATGCTCGTACGAGTAGAATGTACGGAGGGCTGTTACCCGGCTTGCCAATCGCGTCTAACAGCCGCTAATCTCTTTTGCCCTCACTGACGCAATTCAATTTGGTCTTTACAATTCATCATCCATTGAATAGAGAAGACGCCTGTGATGACATTTGAGGTGCTGTACTCGGTCCCTTGAAAGATCCAAACACCAGGGTTGCCGTAATTAGCAAGTGAGTGACAAAACACGAGCCTCGGATGGACTCTCTGTGTTTAGAGACGAGCTGCACCCGTCAGAGCATTACTCGGGAGTATGCGCAGTGGTTGCTGATCGAATGCTGATCGAGTTGCTGATCGAAGGTGCCGATCGGGGACCCCTAGAGCCCTTCTGAGGACCACGAGGGAGAGCCAAGGACCGAGAACAGCGCCTCCACCAGCCTTTCTCTGTCATTTGAACCGCTTTGACCAGGTATGACGCTTTTTCGCTCAGGTCTGGCGCAACAAATGCCCCAGCGCGTGGGCTGCGCAGCTGCGGTCTACGCGTAGGAGAGGGGAACGAGTCACCAGCCAGGTTCGCTGAGCGGATAGTGTGGTAGGTGCTGAGTTCGCTGACCGAATCGGCATGTACGAGGGAAAAAGGGACAGCGGCTGACTGGGCTGAGGAGACTTGCTACCGTCAGTCTGTTGAAGCATGCGACGTGGAAGAGCCGTGACTCGGCGAAAGGTGTTCTTTGGCGCTGGGCGGGAAGGAAGGGACTAGACCATGACCAGGCATAGTCCAGCTGCGGCTTGACGGGGTAGGCGTCGATGCATCAACAAGGGGGGGCTTTTTTTTCACTTTGAGCCGAGCATTTGGAAAGTTTGTACTCTGGACCAGGGGGCAGGGATGGAACAACAGCTGACCAGGGTCACGACGCACACAGGGTGGAACCACGGCGACTGTGGGTGCCGGTCCCCCAAAAGTTGACGCAGCCAGCCAACGGTTCCAGGTGACACGGAGCAGCCCAGAGGGGGAGAAGGGAGGAATGCTCGAGACTTGGCCGGGGCTCGCCACAGGCCACATCTTGCCTGCACAGACAGGCCATGGGCCCTAGGCCGCGCAAACAATTGTGGCGACCCTGGGATCCTGCCCATCAAGCCCCAAATGGGATGACCCTGTCGGCAAACTCCTCCGTTTCAGGTCGCCCAACCTAGATATACCATCTACCGCCCTCCACGTCCCCTACCCACGACTTTCTTATACCACACACACACACACACCTCTGTACCCATTACTCTACTGTGATCTGCCCTAGAGCGGAATACATTGTACTGTGTTGACAAAGACTTAACACAAAAAGCCTTTTGTCCACTCTTTGCTGATTAGCACAGTCCACACCACCACGACTACTACTACTACTATACCTCCACCACCTCACCACAGCTGACTGTGTCCCTCGAGAGTGATTTATTTTCGACTACACTCGAAACGACTGACTTACCTTCCTCGAATCCCTTTATACTCTTTCCTCGCTCACCTTCCGCGGGTATGGCAGACTACGACTACCCTCAATCCCCCACCATGTCACAAGACAGACATATGGGCTCGATGGCCGCAGCCCTCAGATCGAGGCTGGAGGACCTCCCTCAATTAAATATGGCAAACCTGAGCACACATTGGAAAAGAACATCTCTCGACTATCCCAACTCAGCGTCTTCGTCGCGGTCCGCATATTCATTCAGCTCAAGACTATCAGAAGACACCGACGCTACAGACCTGACTGTTACACCAACCGCCCGTTCACGCGCAAGCACATTCGACAACACAGAGAGCCTGCCTATGCCGCTTGTACCTGCGATACCCTGCAAACCTCCCTTGAGAGTGGTCCTGGGGACCGCGTCGGTGGGCTCCAACTTGTCACCACTGGCCAAAATCACCACGGTCGAGGATGCCACAAAGTTCGTCAACCTGTTCCGCTCAAGAGGCTACGCAGACATCGACACCGCTCGAGCATACCCTGTTGGTCGGGGTGGGACTTGCGAGAAGCTGTTGGGCGAAGAAGCACTCCGACTCTCGAAGTGGGCCAATGTGTCGACCAAAGTGTCGAGTTTTATGCCCGGGTCACACCGAGCCAAGAACATTGCTTTGAGCATTGACAGATCTTTGGAGGCTCTCAACACCGACGCCGTAGACATCATGTATCTACATGCCCCCGACCGAGCAACTCCATTCAAGGAGACCTGTGAGGCCATGGACAAGGCTTACCATGAAGGCAAATTTGAACGCTTCGGTCTGTCGAATTATTCTGTTGAGGAAATCGAGGAGATTGTTCGCATTTGCGAGGAGAACGGCTTCGTCAAGCCCTCGGTCTATCAAGGACAGTACAACCCCATCTGCCGAGGGGGCGAAGAGCGATTGTTTGCTGTCCTGCGCGAACACAACATTGCATTTTACGCCTACAGCCCCTCAGCTTGTGGATTTTTCTCCAACAAGGTTTCACGGGCCTCGACAAGGGATAAGAACAGCCGGTGGAACATCGCCTCGCCTCTGGGCGCCAAATACGCTGGGGATTACTTCCAGGATCCCCTTTTCGCAGCGGCAGAAATTGTCCGCCAACAAGCCAAAAAATTCGGCATCAGTGGCCACGCGGCCGCTCTCCGATGGACGACGTGGCATTCTCAGCTCGGCGCCGAGTACGGTGACGCCGTCATTGTCGGCGCCTCCAAGCTTTCCCAACTGAAAGAAAACATGGATATCCTCGAGCAAGGTCCTCTACCAGAGCCTCTCGTGGAGACCCTGAACAGTGTTTGGGAAGATGTCCGCGCCCTCGAAAAGGGTCCTCGCTTTTCCTTTGTTTAAAACATGTATCACGACCTCTTTATATTCTCTCGCGGGAAAAGGCTACGACACGCTCATGGCACAGGTTTATGGAATACACGGAAGAAAATGGGGAGTTTTCTACGGCGTTAATTTCTCCACGAACACAGAAAAAAGTCCCTCCAGTTGAGGCTCCTTTTCTCCGTCTCGGAAAGAATTTTAACCTTCTATCATGATCCCTCAAGTGCTGAGTTGGATCGATCATGTTTTTGTGGCAAACGTCTCCAGAACGACTTTGTCTGATTTCTTTTTTGTGATTGGAATGTTATCCTACATGTGTGATGATACCCCAAATGTGGCTGTATGTTATTCTGAGAACAAGCATGGAAAGAAATGTCTCTCGATCTTTACCATCTCACTATCTCACCACCGGTCTCTGGAAGACGCAGGTTTATCTATCGAATTATGGGTCAAGCTTACATGTCTCGTACTCGATATGTGAGAGAGATGCGAATATGCTCTGGAAAAAAGGGGGGGCGGCGTGTATATTCCGCCCACTTTTCTTAAGTAGCAGCAATGAGAAAAAAATCATCTATTGGACTGAAGAGAATGATTTCATGATTCTTCCAAATATGGATTTGTTTGTAATACTTGTCTCTATTCCATCCCTGGTCTCGTCGTGGTGCAAGTGCTTACATTGCGCGGCTCGCGGTACGTTTTGGAGGAGGAACGAGGATGAGGAAGTCGGTAGAGTTGGGATATGCATTCGTTACTGGCCCGATGGTCTGCTTGACAGAATGACACTGGCCCCGAGATTTGTGTCTAGTCTTCTGCGGCTGACCTCTAACCAGTCCGAAACGCAACAAAGGGGGGGTGGGGGATGAGAGGTGTGGGAGACGACGTGATGGTCGATAATGCAATAAGTGGTACGAGGAGTGAGTAGTTGTGACTCTCTATTGGCCTTTGAAGAATCACTACTACTTGGGACGGGATGGATCAGGAGCACACCAGGGCCGCAATACGAGTAAGGCAGGAAGTTGAGGAATTTTTTTTTTCCTTCCTCGACGAGATGCTGGTTAGGGCTAGCAACTCCTCGCTTGCTCGCTTGCTTGGTTCCCTCATCATCCCTCACTTTGCGCTTCCTTTCTATCCGGCTGTGGTGTGGCAATGTCGTCGCCAAACTCTCGCCTCCTCTCATTCAATCCTGCCCCGGCTGGACTGGGTGAAATCATTTTTACTCTATTGCTACCATCATCATCATCATCATCGCCCTCACCATGACCAAAGCTTGTAAAAAAAAGGCCAAAAGAGGTATAACTGATCTTACGACGACCAAGCACAACACAGCAACAGCAACAGCAAATCGGGAGCGGGGTGGCACGGATCCTTTCTCCTTGTCTGTTCTGGGCTGCCACTGACCAAAGCCGGTCAAGGAAAGGAAGGAAGGTCATGGAATTCTCTACTCCGTACCAAGTCTACCACACAAAAGGGCGCTTGTCAAATGTGTGTCAAGGGCGGCGGATCGCGGGGCAACAACCGCTGGAGAAAGTCTCCTTGTGGTCCAGTCACAGCAGAGAGAGGATGGTAGCCATCCTCTCTCTCTGTGCTAGAAGAATCCTTCGTATATCCAACGAGGAAGTGATTTGCACCCTGCAACTGACATTGGTGAGAAGGGCGATTCGCATCGAAAACTCATTGCGCCCATTCCATCCAACCTATTGTCGAGCTTGTCCACTTGCGATCGAGAGGCGTAATCAGGGCTCAAGGCCTCCCTCTTGGAAAATCGGCTCGTGTGACCAAGACCTTTTCCCATCCCCCCTCCGCAAAATCCCTCAGATCACTAGAGAGATCACTCGATGACAGGCGTGACTTTTTGGGGGAAGGACGAGGGTAAATAATGACGTGAAGAGCAGGATGTTTGACTGGTCAGGCGACTCACCAAGGCCTTTACCAAGACACACAAGAACACGCAACTCTGGGGTTACGACACACACACCCAATCTCGCTCTCTTGCTGGCCAGTGTCATTCGTCAGGTCAGCATTATTCCGACCTCCTCCTCGTGGTTTGAAGCTTACTACCAACCCGAGCAAGAACGCGGCCGACCTTAACGACTATTTGGTATTCTGTGGGTGAGGAATCGACTCCGCCCCCATCCACGTGGTTTGCGTCGTGTTGTGCCGTGTGCCTCCCGGGCAATGACTTTGCTGCATTGGGCCAGGCATGCGTCTATTGGAGCGTGTTCTGGCCTAGCCTCTCCCTCGCATGCAGCCAAGTCGTTCCAGGAGTCGATGGGAAGTTTCAGACTCCCCCTTCGGGACCGAGACGGAAGAGGGAAGACGAGGAGAGAGCTTCGGGTAATCGCCATGCTTGGTTGGAGCGAAAGAGGCTTCAAGAGGCCATGTGGAGAATAGGGCTGAGCCCCTTCGCTTACAGAGTTGGGTGATGATGCCACTTGAGGACGCTGTCAACATGGCAAAAAGTTCTACGTGTGCGTATACGAGGGTACTTTGTACCTAACTCGTCAGCCCAGTTAACCTCTGAGGCGGCTGATCTGACCATTGCCTCGATTGCTTTGGTAGGTGTGGAAGCGGGAAGGCCGAAGAACAGCGCCACCAAAGCATACGCTGCATGGCTGCTGGCGGCACGGCTGCATGGCTTTCGGCCAAGCTGGGCGTGCCTGCTCCCCTTTCCAGCATTTCCTTAGCTATTGCGTGTGGACGGGTTTGGTTCGTCCTCAGTCTTTCAGGGGCTGTTGTTGACAGGGCGAGGGCGTGCAGGGATCGGGCGCTTTCATCTCCACCAAGTTGCTTTCCCGAGTTCTTACTTCCTGCATCGGGGACATGAATTGTCTCACCGAACACGAGGACAAAAGGTCAATGGTCAAAGACCGAAAGGGACAATGGATGAATGGAGGCTGTCTGTTGTCGAAACAGAAATTAAGAAATCAGTCATGGCTGACCGAGTACCTACAATACCTGTATGTAAAACGCGGGCCTGTGAGTTGTAATCGGTATTGCCTACCCCTCGCGTGCATGCATGTCTTGTCCCTCCTTGCCTATCGCTATCACTATCGATAAAGGTATCGGTATCGATACGCTTATCGATAGGCGAGGGTTCGTACCCTGCCACCATGCTCGCCTGTACCTTGTACTGGTGTCTAGGCGCCAGGGTATCAGGGTGGGTAGGCATGCCCCTGATTCCCTGGCCCCCCCAATACTCGGTACAAGCATTCGAATCGTCCCAACGACAACATCTACTGTGTACTTACTTGACTTGGTACTTGGTTGATCCTACGAGGTACGAGGTACTCCTGCGAGTATTCTCTTCCGCACCCACCACAAGCCTCCCCGTTCCCTCCTATTTTTTTTTGTTGGGTATTATTTTCTTGTTTTTCTCACCATGGAATATAGTTGATAGTTGATGGATGATGGATGACCGCTTCTATTCCGTACGTTCTGCGACGACAATTGTACTGCATTGCATCCACATACATGGCAACCCACAACGACCACTCTACCGTCCCACATCCAAATGTGCCCATCCAGAAAATCCACAAATCCACAAAATCCATCCACCTGGAATCCATCTGAAACAGTCCCTCTAAAATCTGAGGGAATGTGGGAGCGAGGAACCACCCAAGGCAGCAAGCAAGTGGAGTGTATACAGATAACAAAATTTTTTCTTCTTGGAGGGGAGGGGAGGGGAGGGGAAGGGAAGTATACTGCTAAACTATATGCTGACGGACGGGGACCAATTATGTAGGAACCCGTCGTGTGTACCCAGTGCTACTCGCCCTCGTAGGGACGCGCAGGTGTGGGAAGGAATCTCACCCGCACCACGCCGCATCTGTGTATCCACTACGTACCTGCCGTCCATCCATCCTTCTATCATTCACCCACTTACCCATCAAGTAATGTAGGTAATCGCACGCAGGCAGGTAAGTAGGGGGATAGGCAGTAGGAAAAAAGGGGGGGGGGGGGCAAAAAGGGGCCAAAAGCGGTTGAGGCGGGCGGCTCCAGACAGGTACAGGCACACGCACAGGAACAGGCAGGCACAGTCCATACCTAATGTTCCGAAGGATCCTTGGGATTTAGCAGTACCCAGTACCAGTACCAGTACCGAGTTGGGTATGTACCCTGCGTTGCCTCCCAGCCTACCTATCACTCCTACCTAGGAAGGGAGGTATGTTACCTGTAGGTAGGTAGGTGCATGTACGGAGTATGTACCTACTAGTAGGTATGTAGACGACGATCCTTCAACTCCAGGCTGGCTGAGGTCAGAATAACGACTGCCATCACCACCATCACCACTGTGCCACTGCTCACCTACATGGTAGTAGTACCTAGTAATCACTGTGTCCTGTTTCTCGCCATGTGTCTGTGGCTGTGGGTGAATATGTCTCATTCACACACCATCTCGTCCTACCCGAGTTATTCGTATACTTACTTTTAGGTACCTACCTACCTACCTACCTACCTAATATTTAACACAAGCGCTCTGCTATTTCCGCATACATGGCAGTCACACGATAGGTAGGTTGTATTCATCCCCCCTGCGCCACAGTGATTATTTTTTTTTCTATCCCAAGGACTCGCCACGCAGTATTGGTGTGGGTATACCTACCTACCTACCTACCCACTAGCGAAGTGATATCAGGATCAGGCGTTGCCGAAAGTGGTATACACGATAATTATACCCCGTGTACTCGGTACTTATTTGGCTGCTTGCCTAGTAGACTGACTGACTTACTGACTGATTTCGCTGACTACTCACTCAGCCCGCAAGTTAGTCGTACTCGTACTCGTACTCGTAGGCTGACTTCGTTATGTACTTTTCCTGTGATGACTCAGGGATACGCCCCTCGAGATTTGGGAGAGAGTGGAATGGCAAAAAGGCAGCGAAAGGATCTACAGCGTCCGCCCGTCTACCTACCTGCCTCGTACCGAGTGAGTAGGTACATTGTCGCTAAGCGCCAGCTAATTAACGTCTTTTGTCTCATTTTGTCTCTGGGCCTTCTTTTGGGTTTCGGGAAGCAGCACCGTTGATTAGCTGGTACCTATTTCGCTGCAACGGTGAATTTGGATTTGGATATGGTTATGGTTATGGATCCGGATCTCAAAATCTTACGGGACCCAGAGAGAAAGGGGGGGTGACCTCAAGGCTCACCTATGGCAAAATCTGCGGCTTACACTTCTCACACACACACAGTGTCTCCCGTCTGGTCAGCTAGCAAGCCAGCTCGAGAGATGGATCGAAGCGCATACTCGCCTGCTGGCCTAGTCGTGCCCAGCACATACTTTGACTTGATGATGCGGAGGCGATGTGGCTGGGTCCATGGCGGCAATGACTCTGCCTATCAAGGGATTCGACGTTTCTTGCTTGCTTACCTCAGGTGTCACTCACACACACGATCTCTTCGACATGCAAAGCGCTTCTCTTCTGTCTGTCACAAAGGCTTTTGAATCTGGGGTTTGTCTGACATGTTGACATTCGATGACTGACGGTTTCTGATTGACAGGAGAATGACAGGCAGGCAGGCGGAAGGTAGGACGATGTTCATCCTCTTCCCCTAGAGGCATGGTCTATGCTATGTACGACTCGAGTCGGGATAACAGAGATGTACCGTAAGTGCATCACCCATGAGCATCACCTCTGGGCCTTGTGTCTCTCTATCGCCACCTAGACCGTCGATACCCCTATCCAAGTGCTTCAAGTGGAAGAACATGAGGCTGGGGTCCATCTCTCTGGCCGGTCTGCGTCGCCATGGCCATGTCTTCCAGTATCTCTCTATAGGGTCGAGTCGAGACATTGGTGTTTCAACCAGTGGTTCAAGAACCCCACCGCTGTCCCATTCAGTTCCATCCCGAGTGCAAATGGGGAGTGGTTTCTGTGTTGTCTGAATGTGGTCTGAGGAACTCATGTCCCATCGACATCGTGCAAGTACAAGTCCAGGTCGAGACTGACCAGGCACATACGGACGCTCAGTATGCTAGCCACCGCTGCAACGAAACCACGAGGTGGAACGGGCTCCTGGGATGCCTCGCAACTTTGAAATCCGACCACAACTGCAACTGCAACTGCTCTTCCTTTCAAACGGGGTGGCTGGTGACATATATTCCAACGTTACAGGCCAGAAGGAAAGTCACAAAAGGGGGAATTGTCTATGCAGCAGTGTTACTTCCCACATACTAACTGATGCTACTAGTATTCATCAATTAACCAGCCCGTGTCCCTTCTGCATCCTGCAGGGCTACCTACACACGATTTACGAACTCGTTGCGGTCCTTGTCCTTCTGGCCTGCACCCAGACCCTTGCGTTTCTGGTTCTGGTTCTGTTGTTGCTGTCGCTGTTTCTGCTGCTTGTGCTGCTGCGTGGCATGAGGATCGTGACACCAAAGGGGGACGAGAACAGCGAATCCGAGTTTCAACTGGATGCCAGCAGCAGCAGCAGGGTCCCCTCTGTTCATGCCGTGTTGCTCCTCAGCCTCTCTATCTCCTTGAGGTACCTGCACTTCTATGTTGTGGTCGTGTTACTCCCCAACCTCTCTCTGCGTTGTGGGTTCTGTTACATACATCCCTGCGTGCGTTTGACGAACCAACCCTCCTCCAATCTGGGGAAGGTCGTGCATGAAATGCAACAAGAGCCCCAGCCCCAAACCCAGACCGGGATAAAAGGGGCAGGTGGCACGGATCAGGTCGTCGTCATCGTCGTCGTCCGACTCCTTCTCCATCCCCTCGTGGAACTCAGAAAGTGGATCCGCAAGACGCAGGGACATCATGTCTGGTATGTACTTGCTCCATTCTTGAAGTCTGGACCGGGGACGGGCCACCAACCTTGTGTTGTGTAACAACAAGAGCCTCGGTGGGTTCTTGTGAGGATCTCAGGATGGGTGGACGGCTCGCAGCCTCATGTTGTGCGAGATATCGCCATGTCCACCCACCAGCGACAGTGCCAGTGCAGATGAACCAACCTCACCGGTCGGGTTGGAGAGGTCATGTTGTGGTACGCCATCCACGTCCTTCCTTTCCTGGCCGGTTCCGATCCCCATCATCATCCTCGTCGTCGTCAGCATCATTACCACCCTGGCTACTTACCGCCCAACATCCTTCGGCCAGCCACATACCTGCACCCGTACCACGGCGCGTGCACTTGCACCTTGCACAGTGACCGGTCTAGGTCTTCTTCGCTTCCTGCAACCGCATTGCCTCTTCGCTCGACTGAAAAGAAAAAGCCAACAGATGCCTGGGCCAAGGAGGACTCACTTACTCTGGCCCAATCCAAGCCATGCCCATCCCATCCCGACCCAGCACGAGGCCGCAAGAACCGGGTCAGTGGTTTTGTAAGTGATCAGTTAGTGCAAGGTATGCATCAACCTCTGGGGCAACGCGAGGCGAAAAAAAAGGCACGGACCCTCCGTCCACTTCCCGCAAAAGTCCCTTCGAGCAAGGAACCTCGCTCTCTTCAAACATGCACGGACAAGGTTCTTGGAGGCGAGGCTGAGAGCTCTGCCTCTTTTTGGTCTATATTGGTATGCATTGGCGGTATTTTCTGCCTTAGCCTTGAACCATCACCACTCCCCACGCCCACACTCATGTATTTGCGCGTGTGCACGTACATGTTGCCTCCATGTTACCTTTGCGTGCTTGTGCCCGTGCAGCCGTCCTGCGGTGCACAGTCCCGTCACGTCTGTGCACAACCAGCCTCGCCAGGCCAGGTCAGACTAGGCTAGCCCAGCCCAATCTAGACCAGTCCAGTCCAGTCTAGTCCAGAGTAATCAAGCCACACAGGTTTGGAGGAAGCTGGGGGTGCGGTGCCACTCTGCGACGCCATTGGGGTTTGCCGTACGGTTGGACAGGCACGCGAGGGTAAGGCTGCTAGGCAAGCAGGAAAGAAGAGGCCAGGAGACCTGAAGGCAGGAAGCAGACCGAGTCCAGAAGAAGTACTGCCTTACCACGACTGGCAGTCCAGTACACCGGCACGATGCAAGTGAATGCCTCTCTCTGCCTCTCTCTATGTGTGTGTGTTTGTGTGCGGACCGTCATTAAGCGACACGTCCTCACTACCACCATCCCTCAAAAATGAAAGCAAATAAGCCAAATCAAGCAACAGCGACTGGGGCAGTGAGAGGGTTGAGGGACAGGGCAAGGCAGGATCAGCATGGACAGTACCTGTCCCGGAAGGTAAAGAGGTCTATCGCGATGGTATGGAATGGAGATAGACTCGAACAGAAGGGACATGTAAGTACATGTAAGTCGAAGAAAGAGATGGAGAGATGGAGAGAGAGAAATGTAGGAAGCAGGTAGGTAGGTAGAGTATTTCCTTGCCTATCGGACAGCAGAAGAGAAATGAGCGATAAGTTGCTAAGTCCCGTAACAGCATCCCGAGTCTCTCTGTCTCTTCATCCCTCTTCAAAAGTCCCTGTCCATCCATCCTCATCACTCGAGGAATCTTTCTCAAAAGTACTCGATACGACCGTGTTGCTTTTCAGCTCCCGCTGCGCCACAAACATATCACCATATCTTTTCGTTATAACATTACCAACCCGCCCTCTCTTCCGCCTTCCCCCTTTTTAGATCCCCTCACTCCTCATTGTTCACTGTCCTCAACCCACAATCAGGCTTTCCTGGCCAAAATACTCCCGCTGGCCGCGTCGACCAGGCCGTTGAACTGCTTCGAGTTCTGGTTCGTGGTGAGCACGACCGACTGGCCGCCGGCGTTGACGACGACCTCGACGCCCTGGAAATCGGCCGTCAGCTCGGCGGCGTGGATGAGGAACTTGCCGCTCGAGTCGAGCGGGTAGAACTCCCGGATGGGTTGTTGGTGGTTGAGCAGCGGGATCTCGGCGTTGACCCCGTGGCCGGTCTGGTTATTGGTGAGGCGGAGGCGGACCATCTTGGATCTTGTATCGCGCTGTCACTGCTGCTGCTGATGTTGTGGTCGTGGACTGGGTCTGAGTCTATCGAGAGTCGAGGGATGCTTGGGGAACAATGGCTCACGCGAGGTAGAGGGCTCAAGAAGAGACAGGGTTGGGAAGAAGTTGAGAGGGAGATAGGCTGGGTCAGTTCCCACCTTTTATAGACTTCTCTCAGGTCAACCAGGCTCAGCTGATGAGTCCAAGCACCGTGAGAAACGACGAGGGGGCTGTATACCGAGTCCCTCCAGCTGAGAGCTCGCGGTCCTTGATTCGTCCAGAATGCACAGCTCGTCAACAGGCCAAGGGGGCCCCCCTGAGAGAAAACAGCCATTCAGACACGTCGGTATGGACTTTGAGCTGCAAAGGCAAGCACCGACTGGGGCGCTGACGCCCGGACAGTGTGGTTCGATCTCCAGCTCGAAACGAGGAGGATACTTGCGCAATGTGCGCCAAGGTCTCAACAAGCATCTCGAGTTCATGCTCATGCTCATCATGCCGGGAAACGGAAGGCCTGTGCACTGCTGAAGATGCGGTGGGCTGGCTGGCTGCTTCAACAAAACATCGTCCGATCGTTCAGTCGCTCGCTTGTCCTGTCCTATCCTGTCCTGTCCTTGTCCTCGGGGCCTCTCACGCGAGGAAGTCCTGCTCTTACGCCTTAAGCAGCCAACGCCCACGCCCACGCCCACTGCCGAATCTGTAGCTGAGACTCGTTCACTCGCTCACTCACTGGAGAGACAGGCAGCCACGGGCACGCACGCCAGGGGTGTGGGCAGAAAGCCTCGTATGGAACGATGAAATGCCTGTGACACACATGCATGAGCTGAGGAGGGGGAGGGGGCTGACTTTCGTTTCGTTTCGTGATCACCTTTTTTTCTTTCTGTGTTTACTTGCCAAACTGCTCTTCAAAAGCCCACCTGACCATGACCCTTTTCGCTCGCAACAGGCCACCGGGCCACTTACAATGGTTCAACGGAATACAGTCCGCTGTCCGGCTGGCTGACTGGCTGGCTGAGGTGTACTCGGTAACCCTCAGGCCACTCGTTCTAGTCCCTTTGTCCAGCCTCACCACCTCTTCTTCAAGGGTCTCCCCGCCTTTTCAGCTCCGAGTCGCTAACCAAGGTTGACCAAGTGCAGCGTTGGTTGGCAGGGATTGCCTTAACTTCGGTTGGGATCGCAGTCAACAAGCTCCAGGAGGGACAATAAGAGACGGAAGGGCCCGGAAGATCGCGTCATACCGAAAGTGTCGGATACAGTGTGATGGGGTATGGAAGCCGAAGATAATCAGCATCAAACATCTGATGAGCTCCTGTAAATGCGGACTGAGCAAGATACTGAACATGAAAGGCTTGATAGAATCTGAGCCAGAAAGCAGTGACTTCGATAAGGCTGATAGCGAAATCTGTCTAGTTGACCAACTGACTTTGCCCCTATTTCTCCAATAGCGGCATGACTTCTGTATAAGAACTAATCCCAGCAGTGCCTACCACAAGTCCCAATCACGTGAAAATGGCTGATCTAATGCGCCAGCCTAGTGATCATGACACCTTTCAAGAAAGGGTCCAGCCATATTCCTCGTTGTAAAGCTGTTCCTCTGGATCTGGCTGAATATCCTTCATGCCATTGCGGATCACATCATCAGAGAGCTTCAATTCGCCTGAAGAAGCTGGAATGACCGACGACTCTCCCGCACGAGCCTCGCCCAAGTCTTTGACAACGTATGCATACTTCATTAGATGAGTCCCGAGAAGATTCCACACTCCAGTTGCTCCAGGAAATAGCTGTGCGAGTGATCCATTCTTGTACGAATCTTGGAGCACTGTGTGGCATCGAGACCAAACCATTTCCTCGTGTGGAGGATTGCGCTCGCTCGGGTTGTCACGATCCAGGCAGGAGACGCAGACCTGGGGCAGGATAAAGGGCGGAGTCAGCAGTCTCGCCTGAGTGGCCAGGGCGGCAGTATTGTGAGTCGATTCGGGTTCAATCCAGTGGAAGGTTGCCATCATTTCGGCGAGGTCGCGGAGACGCCACATGGGTGCAGCCACGTATACATTCTTGCCTGCGCGAGAACGGATCTAACATTCCCCAAAAACAACTTGAACTGTCTTTTGGCCTGCGTTGATATCATCTTGCAGCTTGCTCCTCATCAGGGCAGAAATTTGTCCAACTCGCTCGACCAGGTTTGCCAGGCTGATTGGGGCGTGGTTGAAGTTTATCATGGGGTATTCGGCCCCTGGAGGTGTGTCTGGCAATGGATTGATTCGCACAATGATGGTCGAACACTGGTCCCATTGAAGGTCAGGAATAGAGTCGGGGTTTGGTGCCTTGTCGGTGACATAGAGCACCCAAGAACTGCCCTCTTTGACCAGGACAGGCTCCGAACCCATCGTCTCGGGGGGTAATTCCAGAGTCGAAGGAGTCGAAGGCTGGGTGGAGGATTGTGAGTGGGAAGAGGCATGAGAAGATGCCATTGTGAACAACAGTAATGCTGGAGCAGAATACTGGAAATATTACAGACAAGAAGGAAATGGATAATGTTCGAGCTAAGATGTGCTGTAGTCTAAGATGTGGTGAATGAAGTTGGCTAGCAGACGAGAGTGATGGGAGGACCAAGATATATGGCCACATCCTACCTGAGAGGTACTTGCAGAAAGAGCCATCACGCAGTGATGCAGGTGCAGTTGAATGGAGGCAAGGACCACTGAATGTCAGCGAAGTAAACAGGAAAGGAATCAGAGCCGGGGACAATTGCGGGAAAGCACTTGGTGCTTAAGTGCCACCAGCCACCAAGGCTCTGGATCTGCAAGGCTTTGTTTTACTAGGCGGTCACGGCGGTCAACCTAGGGGCCACTTCGGGGGACCTGCCTTGTCAGCAATGGGCCTTAACTAGCCTCTTCCCCGCCAAATCAAAAAGAGCCCCTCAGGCACCAGTGCCCCCCCATTGGCTGAGCCTCCGACCGCCGCAAGCGCAGTGAATAGCAGAGAAGATTCAAGAAGTTTTTTGTGCGACTCAAGAGCCTGCGGCTCTCACCGTGCATTCCTACTCCTTGCTCGACTTCTCCCCTAGTGACACTCATCGGTTTCTCGGATCTAGTAACACCTCATCGGCTTAAATCGTTCTCATTCTCGCTCCTCACAACATGGCGCAAGCAAAAAGTGGTGAGCCTTACCACCTTCTCATGCGTATAGCCATAGTCTGACCGAGCTTCTCATTGTGTAGGACGACCTCGGGTCTACTTCGACATCACGATTGGCGGAAGGAAACAAGGTCGGATAGTGTTTGAGCTTGTAAGTGTCGCAAATCCCGGCGTGAGAAGCGTGTGGACTGACCGCCAATGACAGTATAATGATGGTATGAGTTACTGTCCTCCCCCCTAGATCGCTCTCTTCCGCTAAGATCTCGTCCAGTGGTACCGAAAACGGCAGAGAATTTCCGGGCTCTGTGTACCGGTGAAAAAGGCATGGGACAACAAGGCAAACCGCTACACTACAAAGGTACAATACACTCAACCTTGTTGGACGGGCTCAAGGCTGAGTGTACGGACTAGGGTCAATCTTTCACAGAGTCATCAAGGCGTTCATGATCCAGGGCGGTGACTTTACAAGGTTCAACGGAACTGGAGGCGAGTCGATTTACGGCGAAAAATTCGAGGATGAGAATTTCGACCTGAAGCATGACCGCCCTTTCCTCCTGTCTATGGCCAACTCAGGTCCCGGTAAGACCATCAACACATGAATACGCTTCCTCGAGTCTCCAGCTAACTCGTTCAGGTACCAACGGTTCGCAGTTCTTCATCACCACTGTGCCCACGCCTCACCTAGACGGCAAGCACGTTGTGTTCGGAGAGGTTATCAACGGCAAGAACATCGTACGAACCATTGAAAATCTTCCCTTGCAGTCAGATAAGCCTGTTGGTGGTGATGTGGTGGTGGAGGATTGTGGTCAGCTCGAAGGTGAGGCCTATGATACAGCAACTCAGAAAGTGGCGGATCCCACCGGCGACCCATACGAGGACTATCCAGACGACCAGGGCGAAGGCTTGAAGGGAGAGGAATACTACAAAATCGCATTGGATCTCAAAGAATTCGGGAACAAGGCATTCAAAGCTGGAGACATCGGGACAGGGATTGAGAAGTATCAGAAGGCCCTCAGATACCTCAACGAGTATCCGGCAGCCAACGACAACGACCCCAAGGATCTCCAGAGCAACATGGATGCCCTGAGGTTCACTCTGCACAGCAACTCTGCCCTTCTCGCCAACAAGGCCAAGCGCTACGAGGAAGCTCAGAAGTGGGCCGGATTTGCCATTGATTCCATTCCCAAAGACGCCAAGGACACGGACAAGGCCAAAGTGTACTTCCGACGTGCACAGGCGCGGGTGGCGCTGAAGGACTTGGAGGAAGCACTCAAGGATTACGAGCAGGCGGCGAAGCTGGCGCCCGAGGACGCGGCGATCAAGACTGAGCTGGCCAGGGCGAAGAAGACTCTTGCTGACAGCATCAAGAAGGAGAAAGAGAGCTACAAGAAGTTCTTTACCAGCTGAAGCGTCGCCATAGATACCCAGGGTGTGTGTGGGTGTGGCTTGGTACTGGATCGTTTCGCGATTGAAAAAGGACAAAGCATGGTTCGGGACGTGCGCGGACACTGCAGAGTTTTTGAGGCATCATAATTTTTTGAAGCATCATCATCGTCGGCAGGCGTGGCTCTCTCCTGGTGCTTGGATAGGGTGGTAGGGTAGACCTTGCAATGTTTACTCCCTTTTCGAGTGGGTGGTGGGGCGTGGGGAGAAAAGGCAATGCATGAGCATGAGCTTGAACAATGAGCATGAGGGCTGAAGGCGCAGACGGTAACTGAGTTATCTCTCGAAAAACAGCTACAGCTACAGTGAAAGTCCACGGTAGACTCAGATCAAGACCCAGAACCCGACCTTAGACCAATTGATAACGTACCAGAAGGCCGGACTAGACCAGATTAGACCAGCAGACACGAGACGAGACATCAGATCACCAGAATAATAGAATAAACAGACAGCTAGAATGAGAGCAGCCATGGCGCGATAGATGACCAGAGAGTAGCAATGACATGAAATGACATGGATACATGACATGATTGATATCCAACAGATAGACGCCTCTGATGTGCCCTCTTCGCTTTCTCCCGTGAATTCCTTGTCCATATAATCCAACGGATGCCCACCCAGACTGGAGCACCTTGATATAACGCTCATGGATCTCTTGCCGTGACCTTTGAATGTGCTCGGACTCTCACGGCTGACTTCTCCCCTGGGCATTGCCCTGCGCGAGGTTCCCCGTACTCCGCCCAACCTTCATTTCCTCCCGCCACGTCGTCCGCTCCTCCTGGGCCACCCCGGGCCCTTTGTACACACTCCCATACCAACCGCTGGCCCAGCTCTTGCCCTGTTTCGCGTTGTCGCTCTCCTCTGTGCCGCGCTTGCTCTTCGCCGAGGCCGTGTACCTTCGGCGATACCACTTGCCGTAGGTCAGTAGATAGTAGAGCCTGAAGCTGAGAAAGGCGAATTTGTCGTGCTCCAGATCTTCTGGGTACTCGGCACCCAGGTCGACTGCGGCGGCGATCCCCGCCATAATGGCGACTTCGTGCGCGTTGACCAACGTCCAGCTCGCGGCGTAGCGCACCCTCCTTTGGCCCTGGAGAAACATCATCCACGGCACCACGAGCAGGTAATGCGTGTACGAGTGGCACAGTTGATGCCACCAGTCCTTTCTGAGGACCTTGCTCTCGTCAATCTCGTTGTCGCTCCACAGATGCCCATCTCGGTCTTTGTTGAGGAAGATCGTCTGGAACACGTGGTCCTCAAAAGGCACCTTGTCCGGGAACTGCGACTGGTAATTGGTGGTGTCGAAGCACATCTCCAGCTTGGATCTGTCCTGGTCATACATCTTGATGTAGTACATTGGGCGGAAATTATCGGCTCCAAAATCACAGCGGGATGACTGATCTTTACCACCTAGGGATCTTACGGCATGAGATTCCGAGTAAAAGTTTTGGTAGTGCTTCTTCATATAAGAGGAGTCGGTATGCGTGATAGTGATGTCGTCGGAAAATTTGGCAGAGCCGAGGACTTTGCGTTCTCGCCAGGAGGAAGTGGACGAAAGAAGGCGCTTGGCGGTGTCAGCGAGGCAGCATAGGACTATTTCATCGTAGTGCTCTTCGAACGTGGGCGCGTCTCGGTCACCGCCAATGGGGTTGTGGTGGTCGGGAGTTGGTGTACGCTGTTTGAGAGAAACGACAACGCCGTTAGATCTCGAGCGGTGGAGGATTGCTGCAAGTTCAGTCGAGAGGCGGACCGTCACACCGCGGGAGACAAGGTCTTTGCGCCATGTCTCATAAAAGTCGCTGAAGTTGGGAAAGACGACCATCGGAGGATGATTGGTCGCTATGCTGGTAGGGTCGTAAGGAAACCACATGCCATAGGTGGGACTGGTGCACAATCGCTCAAGCATGATTGAGGGCACATTGGGAGCTTCGTTGCCCGTTCCCAGAAACAACGCCACCATAGGCAAGGCGACGGTGTTGGTGAACTCCTCGGAAAAGAACCACAGCTTGAAGAAGACCTTCATGGGGATCAGTGCGAAGAAGATCTCGAACCAGCGCATGAATTTTAGGGCAAAATTGAGGCGTTTAATCTCCTTCTGATGCCGAGCTAACAGGTCTGTTGGGAAGACGTTAGTCCAGAAGGTGTCGTCCTTGCCGAAGGAGACTTGAAGGTTAACCGGGTCAGCGTGATATCCCTGGCGAGCGAACATGGTCAAGGTGTGGTGGAAGATATAGCTGCCGCCTTGAACACCTTGATTGAACCAGCTGGCCCCATGACGATCCTTGTCGAGAGGACAGGAGAAGGCTTGACCTCCGCAGTAGTCGACGGCGTCGATGAGAGTGATGTCGTATTTGTCGGGGTGCTGGGAGAGATGGTACGCCGTGGACATTCTGGAGAACACCACAATTAGTGACTGGCCGTGGGAAAGGCAGGAGGTCTAAGACGTTACCCAGCAGCGCCCGCGCCGACAATGAGAACCCTCTTGCGACCAGCCTGATGCTGGGAATCGGATGGTTTCTGGGCCATCGTGGAGGCGTTAACGAGGCTATCTCGCTCGACGTCGTGGTGGAAGGGAGTGTTGTCCATCAAAGGGGTTTGGACAGAGAGAAGAGGGCCATTGGGGTTAGGGAGAGTGTAGCTGCATGGTCATAAAGAGGTTGTGAATGGTGGTGGTGGTGGTGGACAGCGAATGGAGGATGATCCGTAGACTTTGGAATGGCGACGTCATGACTTTCAGGAACCAACATCCCAGCACCCCAGCACCTCAGCTTCATCCCTCACCGCGTGGGTGACTTGCCATCTGTCGTCAAATCTCCTACCTCTCGGTTCACGGCTCCTGTTCCCCCCAAGCCGCGTCTCAGATCTCCCCACCTTCGCGAATCGGTCTCTTCCAACTCGCCTCTCTGCGATTGGGGTCATTGGACACCGATGGCCAACTTGCCAATGCCTCATTGCCTCTCCTGCACTGCAGTCTCATGGACTCTCAATCTTGCCAGCCCCGAAATCCTCTCTCGAAGCATTATAGATTTCAAGCTCATTCGTATTGGAGGCTTTTGGGCGCGGACCTTGTTTTCTAAGGCTGTGGAAACATCATACCAAGTTGAAGCGCGTTGTAGGCAATTGCAAGCTCCATTTTTCAGACCAGAAACTATGCCGAGCGTCCGCAGCTAGCTGAGCCTGAGCTCCCTCCCGCGCAAGTGGTAGAGCCACCCTAAGCGGCTTAGAGGATCGTCAGCCCGCGCTCATGTGCGTTCAAAACCAGCACTCTTATCTACCTCGTACACAGTCACAAATTCACCATCATCAAGGTAGCCTTGCGCGTGCATACAGTACTATCAATTGGAGACGGTATTTTCTTTTGTCACCGAATACTTGCCAAGCGAGCCGTCCTGGTGCCTCCGCCCTTTGACGAGCCTCCAAGACCGCGTCTCCTCATTTGTCCAACATCTCAAATAGACACCGATTGTACCTTGCCCCTAGATACTCGCCCCTCTCTTATACATTACACCCGCAAATCTAGAAAATGGCACTGAGTGCCTTCCTCCACCACGGCCAAGTCGCGACCTTGGCCCTATACGCGTTGATAGTCTCCCAATCGTGCTCGCGACGGCCGGTATCCAGATCGATCTGATCCACACGAAGGAACCCTTGACGTTTCCAGAGGTAGCCACAGACCCAGAAGAAAAGCACCACTGGCAGAGCCAGGTAGGCCTTGAAGAAGTCTTCGGCGCTGGCCAGATCGGTAGTGAAAGGAGGAGCGATGGCAACGAAGAACTGCGCTGCCAGCGCGATGAAGATGAGGAATATACCCAGCCATGAACCCCACACACCACCAATCGCCTTGAAGGGAATCTCATCCAGCGAACGTCCAGCGTGCTTCCACGCTGCTCGGAAACGGATGTGTGCCTAATCCCCAAAGTGTCAGAAAAGGAAGAGTACTGCAGAGAATATGAGACGACTGGTGTCCGTGAGACTTACCACGCAGATAGAACCCCAAGTGAAGAGAGCAGCAAGCCCAGACAGCGCAAGCAACCAGTCAAAGACAATGCTGCCGGATGACGCCAGCACGATGTAAGCCAACCCGCCAAACGCCAAGTTGAGTCCCACCGAGAACAGTGGCCGGCCCGATCGATCGATGTAGGCGAAGATCTTTGGCGCATAGCCCTGTTGAGCGAGGGCAGTCAAGGTGCGCGAACCGCCATAGACGCTGGAAACACCGATCGACACGACCGAGACGAGAATGACGACGTTCATGAAACTGTCATAGCCGATGAGACCGGCATCGAGCGGACCAAGCACGAAAGGCGATGTGCCGTCGGCGTAGGGGTTTGACGCATTGAGGAGACGGTCGTCGGTAGAGCTGACGAGGAGTCCGACAAAGGTGAGTCCGAGAATGTAGAACCTGTCAACAACGTTAGCTGGGTAAGAACCTGAGGGGATGGTCTCTCGTCTCACAAAGTAATACGCCAGAAGACCTGCTTGATGGCGCTCGGAAGGGATTTGCCAGGGTTCCTGGACTCGGCGGCAGCAAGACCCACGAGTTCGGTGCCAGCAAATGCAAAGGCCGCCGTGACAAAGACGGAGCAAAAGCCACGGAAACCATTTTGGAATGCACCCGGGTCATACCACAGCCGGGCACCCCAGTACTCGTGATATATACCGTTTGAAGGGCCGCCACCACAGATGAGGACGAGAGCAACAACCATAAAGATGACAGTCGCCAGGAGTTTGAAGAGAGACGCCCAGAATTCCTCCTCAGCGTAGCCCAGGGTTCCGAAGATGTTGACAAAGATGATGAAGACCCAGAATATGGTAATCCAGACTGCTACACTAATGTCTTTGTTCCAATACTGGACGGTGAAGGAGCAGACGGTCAATTCGAGCGGGAGGACGATAACCCATTGAAAGACCTGCTCTGTGTCAGCGGACCAGTATCGCCCATGGTCGGGATGAACAACGTACGTAATTCCAGCCCATTGCGAAGCCCCATGAAGGGTCAATCTTTCTCACTGTCAGCAATGTGGATTTGATTGGATTGTGGACAGGCCTGGGAACGTGGACATACAAAGCGAACCGAGTATGTGTAGAAGCCTCCGCTGATAGGATACATGACGGCCAACTCTCCCAGGGCATAGACGACATTGAAGATCATGACTCCGGTGATGAGGAAACAGATGAGGACCGAAGCTGGACCGCCTCGAGTCAAGGCTCCTCCAGAGCCCACGAAGAAACCGGCACCAATTGAGCCTCCGATGGCGATCATGTTCAGGTGACGCGACTTCATGGAGCGGTCAAGCTCCTCGACACCCTCACCCCGTTCACCTGCAGCAGATTGTCAATGCCATGTTCGCACTCAACATATACAAGAGAGACAGAGGCTTCTTACGTCTCCGAAAACTGTCGATGTTGAGGCCATTGCGGGTGAAGAAGTCCTTTTCCCGGAGGCTCTCAGCGTCAAAGGCATCTCCTGAGGCTTGTCTGGAGAAGGAAGCGCCTTTCTCCGAGTCCGTGGGCGACTCCTGCGCCACGGAGTATTCTTTGGGCGCGTCTGAGCTCATTCTTACCCCAGGGGGCAGTCGGCGAGATGGGAACGACACGAAGAGAGCTTGAGGGGGAAGATAAAACGCGATGGGGAAGCTGATCCACTGCTATCGAAGTTCGGGGAATGTACTCGAGAGAGCTCAGTTGAACAAAGCTCTGAAGAGCGCAAGCAATCGAGCAAGAGGAGGAAGCAAGAGCAAGAAGGACCAGGGACCTGTTCGCGCTTTTTTATTCCCACCGCCCCATCTCCCCCGTCCGTGAGTTTTGACGGAGAACGGAGGGGGGGTATCATCGGTTGTCAAAGGATGCAGTATCTCGCTATCTCTTGGTTTTGCCATCCCTCCATCCTGTCTCGTGTGTTCGAGGCCGTCTCACAAATCACACAGGTGGGATTGTATTCAATCTGCATGGCGGCTTGGCCCGATCAACAAGGGTCACGTCACTACTACTGATAGAGGAAGTCAATCGAAGACTTGCCAGGAAGCCAAGAGGTTACGACCAAGAGATACTACGCCTCGGCGCGGAGGCGATACCACAGATCACGGAGGAGGCACCGCTTTGGAGCAGCGGGAGCGGAGAATCGATAGGAGAAAGATCGACCAAGACATGACAAGTTTCCTTGGCTCCCCCTCCAACGGCGAATCCGCAACGTGCGCCGAGGTCTTGGTTGTTCTGGGCGGAAGCATCAGCCAAGCACGGGCGGTGGAATGGATCCCACTTGTGAAGCCCGAGAGGAGAAGGGAGAGCCGGGCCAATGGACGGTGGCTGAAGGCTGATGGCTCGATTTGACGGTCGGCAGCGATGGTCTCGTTTGGTGTTTGGTGTTTTGTCGCCTGTCGCCTGACAAGTGGCTGGTGGCTGGCCATCACCAACCATCAACCATGGCTGTTGTCTGTTGTCATTGAAGGTGTCAATCAGTGAAACTCTATTATCAACACAATTCACCTCGCGGGCTTCGACCAAAAAGCATATGACGCTGTCCCTTTCCACCTCGGAACTTGGATCTGGAGATTTGCTCGTCAAATGCTGGGGATCCTTCTGGTTCTGTTGTCCGTTGGTCTTTTTTTTTCCTTATCATGCCGAGCAAGCCAAAGGGGAAGCTTTTATCTAGCTTTTGGGTTCAACCTGCTTTGTTGGATTGGCGACAAGTCTTGTCTCGTGAGGAGTTTCTTGGACGACATGCATATCATCATTCCACGCTTACAGAGAAGACACGAACGAAATCGACCGATGACTTGGTGTGGTTGGCTGCCTTAGTGCTACGTCGGGGTTCTACGAGGTACTTGTACTTGTCGTGCACACGAGCATGAGTATGAGCATGGCATGACATGATATGACAATAATGAGCATGACCACTCATCCCGCAGGTATGTATGTATGTACAAGTATGGACATGGCCAAGGTATGTATGTGTGTATTGTATCTCATTCCTTCCTAGTCTTATTGGTGCACCTCGTACATACAAGGGCTCTCTACTCTTGACTTGATTACCACTTTTGCTCCTCTGCCTTTGTGCATGTCTATCCGCATCTCCAGCCTCGCGATAAATCTACTCCATCCTACACCACCCACTCGCCCACTCACCCACTCACCCACCACCAACCTACATAAACATACACATACACATTACTCGTTAGTACCCGTTAGTAGTAGTAGTAGTAGTAGTAGTAGTAGTAGTAGTAGTAGTATAGTAGTAGTAGTAGTAGTAGTAGTAGTAGTAGTAGTAGTAGTAGTGTAGTAGTAGATACGTAGT